CTCGAGGAAGTAGTGTCACCCTTCCGTGTACCTACGGCACTTCCGCTCCAGACCGTGAAGGATTTATTCAATGGGATAAGCTTCTCCGGAGTGAAACGGTAAGGCTCCAGGATGAACTGGGGCATTGCGGGTCATGATTATCGTCTGACTGTGACTGACCTCTTGACAGGCACAGACCTTGAAACCTTCCTTCCATCACTCCCTCTTCTCTGCCCTCTGGGTTGAGATTCAAATTTAGAGTATATGCATCTGTTCCTGCACTCTACCACTGAGCTATGGACTCCATATCTTATTTCAAAAATATTTTATGAAGATTATGTATGTGTGTATATATATATGTATATATAATTGTTTTTTCCAATATTTTGCCACCACAATAAATTTTGGTATAGGTGATATATATCATCTGATAGATTATCCTAATGAATTTGCAAAGCCATTAGACAGCTAATTTAAGGAAGCTACGCAGACATTTGCCCAATCCCAAACTCTACACATCTCAGTGAACTCCTATGCAGTCAGAATGGCCATGCAGAAGCCATGGACCTTCGCTTAGGGTTTTAAACTTTAACTATCAATTACATTTGCATTTATTTATTACCCTAGTTAGTATTCTATTGCTTTGATAAAGCACTAGGACCAAAAAGCAACTTGGAGAGGAAAGGTTTATTTCGCATACACTTCTGCACCTCAGTCCGTCATCAAAGGAAGTCAGGGCAGGAACTCAAGACAGGAACCTGGGGGAAGGGGGTGGGCAGGAACTCAAGACAGGAACCTGGGGGAGGGGGGTGGGCAGGAACTCAAGACAGGAACCTGGGGGAGGGGGGTGGGCAGGAACTCAAGACAGGAACCTCGGGGAGGGGGTGGGCAGGAACTCAAGACAAGAACCTGGGGCGAGGAACTGAACCAGAGGCCATGGAGGAGAACTGCTTGCTGTTTGCTCCTCATGACTTGCTCAGCCTGCATTCTTATAGTCCCCAGGGCTACCTACCAGCCCGGGGGGGGGGCATCATCCACAGGGAGGGGCCCTCCCACATCGGCCATCAATCAGGAAAATGCACTACAGAATTTTATGGAGGAATTGTCTCAGTTGAGAGCCCCTCTTCCCAATGACTCTGTCTTGTGTCAAGCTGACAGAAAACTGACCAACACACTTATCTACCACAGATAAAGAAAAAAAAAAGAGTTGAAACTAAAAAAAAAAAAATTAGCTTTACCTCTTCTTGTGTGACTTATACGTCCTTTTGCCTGAATTCTGTCCTTCCTCATCACCTCCTGCTACTCCCCTAGTCCCCTTCCTGTAGTCTAACCTTTAGGGAAAAAAAAAACTTTTAATAACATATCTGCCAGAGATAATCATCGGGTCCCCAGCCACCCAGAGAAAGAGGCTTTAGCCTTGTCCTTGTCAGAATCCCAGGACACCTGCGTCCTGGATGACAAGATGGACAAAGAGGGAGTCAGTCTTATCTCTAGGTACCAAGGGCCCTGATGAGCCACAGGTCCCCCAGCCGCCCCCCCCCCCCTGTCTGCTCCAGAGTGAAAAGAGCAATGTCCTTGTTGCTGTCTTGAGCTTCAGGAACTGAAGGGCACTGTGCCTCCCACCAGATACATCCAGCGAGCCGGGTGTAGTATCTATGGCTAACTTATTCAGAATACTGATATAGACATTGAGGTTGTTTATTAGCTACTGGATACCCTACTTCCGAAAGGATTTGAGGCAGCTCCTTCAGGACCAATGACCAATGCAGAGAAAGCGATTATTATCTGTGAGTCCTAGGAAGTGGTGTGGTCAGGAAGAGGCCTAGGGACAACCTTAGGATGTCTTTGATAAGAAGATGTTATGGGGTGGAAAATCCAGTGCCAGCCGGGGTCAGGAAAGAGCTGAGCATCCACAGACTTCATAGGCCTAGACACCACCTCATCCTCTCCCTTCTTTTTGCCTCCCTGTCTCTGCCGGCCATTCTAAAAGGGTTGTCATCCCTATCAGGGCTATCAGGTGTGGTTGGACAACTTGTGTCTCCAATAGCTAAGCCATGTGCCCTGACTTAGGCTGTGCCTGTTGGAAAGCTGGAGTGCCTTGTTCTAATTGGGAAGGCTCAGCATCTTCAGGATTAAGATGTGGCACAGCATCCTTCCAGCCCCCTCCCTGCCCACCACTGCCCATTGTCTCTCCTACTCCTGAAGTCACCAGCATTTCACACTAGCAACTACTTTCCATTCTCAGAGACCCTCCTCCCTTGGCTCTTGGGGCTCTTGGCTTGGTGACCTCTTTATCTCTCTGAGCCCCACTTGACTCTTGGAGTGACTTGGGGACTTGCCATTTGTTTCAGGCCATGTCTCGCCCATGTCTCAGTGAACACCTGTATGCTACTGGCTCCCAAACTTTCATCCCCAGATGTATTACCAGCTGAAAGTTTCTCCTGAGTTCTGTTCTCAAAAGAAATAATTCAGCCAAGAAACATATACAGTTAAAGCAGAAGTTTATTTAGCAAGGCAAAGCATGCACCCCAGACAGAGACTGGAGTGGGCTGACCTGGTGGGGAGAGGGTAGAAGCCACTGGGTTCTGCATATAGAAATGTAGCAGTTTTATGAATATATATGAGGTGGGCCACCTATTCATTGGGACAACATGACCCTCTTTTCCTCTCAAATCACAGTGGACTGGATTTTGCTTTTGAGATATTTCTTCTTATGATTCTTTTGAAAGGCCCACAAAGTGGGGGGAGGGGTCAAACCCACAGTGCAAAGGATGTGATAACGACGCTTGGGTCATTTGAGGATGCAGACCCCTTATAGGTGCACATGGGTGACAGAGAAAGGTCTGGTGCCTTGGTTTCTGGGACATCAGGAGGAACTAACTGCATCCTCCAGTTTGTTCAACCACAAAGAGACACTCTAACAGCAGGAGACACAACTAACCATCATATCACGTGGTTTCCTTGCTTCCCCACGTCTGACTCCTTACCTATCTAGTTTCAGTGACATTCGGCCGACCCATCTAGCCATATTGAATTCCTCCCCTTGGGTGTCCTACAGACACCGTAGGCATCCCACATGTAACCAGAACACATTCTTTGGGCTTAAACACTCTCTTCGTGTGCGTTGCTTCTGTGGGGGAAGATCCCATCAAATGGGCATGCCTAAACCCTTATATCCGGGATTAGCTGCTCTCTAACTCTGTATCCCAGGCCCATCCCCAAATTTCAGGTGCCCCCTTCTTCTCACTCCTCTACCTCATTCTACTCTCTGTCTGTGTTGCCACAACCCAATGGGACAATAATCAAAGTTTGTCACCACGGTCACTCAGCTGATCTCCTTCCTGGTTCCTTCTGAACCTGTCCCCTTTCTCCTTCCAATCATTTGAACTCAGTATTAAGAGCTAACCTTATAATAAACAGAATTTTCCAGCTAGGGATATAGCTCAGTGGTAGAGTATGTGGGAGGCCCCTAGGTTCAATCCACATATACACTGGAAAACAAAACAAAACAAAACCAACAAATTCATTATTGCTCAAATACATTATTGCCACCAGGATGAACTGTGAACTATCTGGTGTCACACAGTGTCCCAGATGTGACTTAATCTGCAGAGTTCAGGCTCTGAGCCACAATGCCCAGGGTCATCTCAGCTCTGCCATTCACCTACGCATGTGAACTTGGGGAACACGCTGAATCAGCCTCTTAGCGCCTCGGTTTCCCCCTGTGTACGATGGATATGATCATAATGTCTACTGCACAGGAGTGTTGTGAGATCTAGTATTTGGAACGGTTCGCAGCATATAACATACATTAAGTAGCAGCTATGGCCTTTATTGCCCAGGCTCAGCTCTTCGTAATCCTGTCACTCACTCACACTGTGCCACTCAGGGTTGAGAACATTGCCTCTACTGTCTAACGCATTTACCCTACGCTCACACACAACTGCTTCACTCTCCCAGCTGTTTACCTGGTTAATTCACAGCTGCTTTTCAAGCTTCAATGCAATTATCACCCTTTCTTTGGAGTCCTCCCCCAACTGGCCGGTCTTGAATCTCATAATCATAGGACACCGTGGTTGGTTGTTTCTCAAACTCATTCGTCTCTGAGGACAGAATTCATGAATTGTATGCCAGGGATATGGTAGATTATAATAATGGCTAGTAGCGGTAGACGCCACACCAGGCAGACCCCAACTGCTCTGCTTATATTACCAGCTTTGGCCTTACCACAGTACGATGAGATGTGTTGTCATCAACATCTCCGTTTTGTAGGTGAGGAAGCAGAGACTCAGAGCAGTCCAGCACGTTGTCGAGGACATTCAGCTAGCGGCAGCCGGGTTAGGATTTGATTGAAGCAGACTGGCTTGGCCGGCTGTGGTATGAGCCACGAATGTGCTGCCTCGTAAACATCGACGAACAAATAAGTGAATAAACAAATTCCAAGGGCAAGAGTCAAAATCAAGTGAGCTTGTAGTTCAAGCATGGTGGCCTGGGGCCTGGTGCGGGGTGGTGCTCGGAAGTGCTGGGCAAGGGAAGGCATGAATGAGGGATGCGGACTACAAACATGAGTGCCTCTCCAAGACAGCCTCGTCTGTTCTCCGGTATTCCAGGGCGTGCGCTTCCGTGTGGTTTCTGCTTTGACTCAGGGCTTCATGTTGCCTTAGAACTTGCTCATAGCCAAGGGTGGCTTTGAACTTCTTCCCATCTCCACCCCTGGACTGCTGGGATGATTGGCATGCACCCCAAGTGTACCCACGTGGTGCTGGGGATCAAACCTAGGCCTTTATACTTACGTACTAGGCTAGTACTTACGTACTACCAACTAAACTACAACTTCAGCCCCCAACATTTCCATTTAAAGCTTTAAAATCTAGAGCTAGCTACTTAGGAATCTACCAGTGGGCACTGCACATCTGTTTGAGACACTGTTGGTCCACACATCTGGGCTCTGGGGGTGAAAGACTGGGTGAGGGCAGGCCTACGCCAGGGCCTGACAGCATTTCTCCTTTCTCTTAGGAAAGAGTGGTCACTTGGAATTTTTTGACGAAAAGCTACATCTACGGGACCCGTTACGAGAACCGTGTGAAAATATCTGACGATGTTGACCGGTCAGATGCCTCCATCACCATTGACCAGCTGACCATGGACGACAATGGTACCTACGAGTGCTCCGTCTCACTCTTGTCAGATCTGCAGGGTACCTCCAAGTCTCGAGTGCGCCTCCTGGTCCTCGGTGAGTGTCTCCATCTTTCCCTCTAGGAAGAGGCTGGGCAGAGGAGCCCTGGCAGCAGAGTACCACCATAAATCCAGACGCAGCAGGGACTGATCATAAGCCCTGCGTTCTACTTGGCCTGGCCTATTTCAGAGCAGAGTCAGGGTTCCTTTGCTCTCTGTGGAGCCAAATACTGTCAGGGTTCTCTGTGAAGAGCAGGCTGTTTCTGAGGGCAGAGGCAGTGGTTTTGGAGTCGCCCCTTGCTCCCTCTGCCTTTTACCCTCCACACCAACTCTTCTTTTCCCCTGCCCATTCATTTCTGAAAAGCAGGGGAGGGAACTCCCAAATAATATTCAGATTCTCGTCTTACCTCAATCAGTACTTGCTCCTCAGAGGGCCAATCGTGACTACCATAGGTGATGGGTCTTTCCTATCGTCAACTCAGCTTCACACTGTAGTCTTCCCATGCCACCTCTAACAAAGGTACCGTCACCAACGGGAAATAAATATGTCCCAAGATACCTTCCCTTTCATGGGAGAATTGGTTTGAATTTATAGTTTTGGAAGGACCAGGAAACTCATCTGCTTTAGTTTCTGAGTAAATGAGGCTCAGAGAAAGGAAGTAATTGCCTCAAAACCAGTTACTGGGGCTCACATTTTAGTGAGCACCTTGTCTATGCCCAGTATTACAAAATGCCCCCCGCCCCTTCCTGGGAGGTAGCCACTCTGTGCAGGAAAACAATGGATCCTTTCTTTCTCTTTTCCCTTTACACTTCTTGACAGAATTTCTTTTAAATTGTATATGGTAGTTGCTGGACTTACAGAAAGCACTCTAGTGTGTCAGAATATACAGCAGCACACACTAACGCTGCATGAAGAATAATCGAGACCTCTTCCCACCCTGCCACTCTGAGGCAGCCAGTGGTAATGCAGGCAGGCGTCCTTCCAGCCATCTCCCCACATTCTCTCAAGGTACACCACGCTCTCATATGCTTTGCTCTTCCCGTTGAAGAAGTGAGATAGTATAAAGCACTTAGCGATTTGCTTCTAGACAATGCTCCGTTGCACACCTCTCCAGGCCAACACACGCAGACCTGCTGCAAGAGAGCACATTCTGTCTCTTGGTTGCACAATGGCTTACTCAAGTGTTTCATACTGATGGATATCGAGACTGGTTTTGTTTTTGTTGTTGGTTTTTTTTTTTTTTTTTTGCACAAACAATACTCAATATACCCTCCTACCTCACTTTGTGTGTATGCATATATAAAAATCGTACATGCATATACATATAAGGATTATGTATACACAGACACATAAAGTTTGGGTTCTTTAAATACCTGCCTGGCCTGTCTTTTGGGCAGAGGATTTCAGCGAGTCGAAAGGGAAGTGGCAGGAACCCCTATAAATCTGAAGCCTGATTCTGCTGGTCCTCCAACCACACTTCTGTCCTTACACCAAGGACCAGCTACTTCTACAGAGGAACAAATTAACCTGAAGAATGAAGGACACAAGTTTAACCTGGGAATATGGAATTCATTGAAACTAATCTTTCGCTTTTAAAAAAAGAGACCTTTTTTTTGTCCTACATGCTAATAAACCCAGCGAGATTTTTTGTGAAAAGTTTTCTTTCTCTGTGTTTTTATAGTCAGATGCTTTTTAAAGGAGAAAGGCTTTAATTATACGGGGCGGCTTATTTTGGGCAGGCTAGCAGGAAACTCCCCAGCCTTAGCCTCTAGGAGCTAGCCTTGTCTAGCTCACCTCCACGAAGTTGCGAAGCTTTTAAAAAGAAGACTTCGAGGCCTGTGTGCCAGGTGGGATCTTTGCTCTGGCCTCTGGCGCCCCCTGATGTCTTTAGAACGAACAGCCGGCATCGAAGAGGCTTTGGAGCCCGGCATTCACCTCCATCCTCTCTCGCCCCTCTCCCAGTAAATGCACAGGTAACATCTACAGGTTACTTGTAAAACAGGCCGTGTGAGGACAAGACCCCCTCTCCCACCAATACTCTTAGTCCCACACGTGGGACTCTTGGAACTAGATATGATTCGAGGGCCCAACTGTTTGTGATTGGCGCGCAGGAGATCTGGAGACGGAGGACAGGGGTGTGCCTGGGATGGGGTCAGGTAGGAAGTTTAGGGCCTGTGGTCAAGAGCCTGGGGCAAAAGCTCTCAACGCAGTCCTCCTGAGAAGCAGGTCTCCCTTGCTGGCCATCACTCCCGCTTCCTCCCGTGGGCAGTTTCTGGAGTTCCTTGTCTTCCTTGCCAAGGAGTGGAGGAGTAAGCCTTTCACCGTGTCCATTTGCTTTTTATGCTTCAGTAGCTGGTTTCCAGAACTCTCCTTCCTGCTTCTGTCCTGTGTCCCCGCCCCGCTCCCTGCAAAGAAACCCTAGCTCAGAGAGTCCCACTGCACTCCACCACTTAATCTAACAGGGCATGTGGGATGGGATGTGGGATCTTGCCGCCGAGCCTCCTGCTAAAGGCATACCTGAGGATGAGGCTGGCTAGGTAAGGGCACCGCAGGGCACCACTGTGGGGCCCAGAAGAGAAAGTGAAGCCCAGCAGGAGTACCCAGAGGGTAAGTCCACCTCCCCTGCACCCCCAGGGCTGCTTGCTGGCCCAGCAGGATGGGCAGGAGGTTGACAATTAGCCAGCTGCTGGCAGGGCTTCTGCCCACCTGCTCATGCGGGCCTGTCTTTGATCCTCAGAAGCCTGGGTTTTGTTTGGCAATAAGGGAGTGCCTCTAATGTGTCTGGTGGTTCCCTACCTGCCTGGCCCAGCTGTGTTAGCAGATGTCAGGCACTCCTAATAATAGCCTGCCTGTTTCCAAAAAGAAAATCTGCAGCTGCCGGACTGGAAGAGAAAGGAGAGTTAAGGACCGTTCTTCCAGCAACTTCCAGGTGGGCTGGGGCTGGCAGGAACCCCCGGGATGGGTGGCTGAACAAGCCATCCCAGCGGGCATGCCATGAACGTAGAGGGACAGGCCCTCTACCCAAGGACTTCAGTGACAACTTTCCTGTGTGTGCGCTCCCTTCCTCACCCCTAAAGATGCTTCCTGAAGTCTCGTGGATTCTTCCTGCTTCCCCTGCCTAGCGTGCTCATCTCTGCTCTAATTCCTGCCTCCGCCTTCACCATGGTGACCTCCAGGTCACGCCCATATGAGGTGTTGGGCCACCATCCTCTGCTCCAGCCATCTTGTCTTGTCCCCTGCTCTCTCACTGTTTCATTGTCCTTTGATCCTCCATTGGATTCCTTGACTCTCTCACAGCGTCACCCCGGTGCCCAGCGTCCAGCGTCGGGAGGCAGAACCCGGCTACCTGATAACATTTATAGAACCACCTACTTCACCCAATGTGACGTTAACAAGGCTGAGGGAAAGACCCAGGCTTGGGGTATCAAGGAGCCAGGGGACCAAGGACAGATGGTTGACAGTGCCTGCTGGGGCTTATAAACATTTTCTATGGCCTTCCTTGATCACGTCTGCCCACTCCATCTCTTCAGTCACATTCGCCACCCACCCTGCACTGCCCGGGGTCCATCTTGCTATCTAGCCACTTGTGCTGATTCCATTTTATTAGCAAAGCAGGGGGAGAGGGTGGTGGTAGGCCCACAGAGAACGTTCTGAAGGAGCTGCAGCTGAAGGCTGCAAAGACCATCTAACCTAGTGTGAGGAAACCCTGGCCTGCTCACAACCCACCATGCCCTTATGGTTCTAAAGCTTTATTAAAACCAGAAAATGCAAGGGGGAGGGAGAAGGTCTCCAGAAGGAGGGACTGGGAGGGAGGTAAACATGATCAAAATATATTGCATCCATGTATTCATGTATGAAGTTTTCAAAGAGTAAAAAATATTACACCAACCCCCCAAAGGAAAAAACAGCATTGGAGATAATATTGTGGTCTACAGACCCTACAATTCCCCTGTGGCCCTTTACAGGGCAGAATTGCTGTCCCCTAACTTTAGAGGTCAGGAACACTGTGATCCGTGCCGAGTCAATAGCAAAGAGAGCTCTCATGGGTCAGCAGAGCAAGTCCTGGGTCTGGAGTCAGGAAACCTGGGTTCTAATCCCACCTCCGCTAGGACCCAAGCACAAGCGTCCCTTCTGTGCTCCATGGCCCCCCATTTGTAGAATGGCTGTGTCGGTCATGTTTAAACTCCCACAATTCCAGAGAGCACAAGAAGCCACTACCAACCAGCCTGTCAAGGGGACTCTGTCCCTGAGTGGTTTGTTTGCAAACAAGCTCTCCATGACACCAGTGACAAACCAAAGCGATTCTCCCGAAGCTCAGCTTGGGGAGCTCATGATACCGCTGAGTTACACGCAAAGCGTGGGTGAGCCCACGGCAGCCACAGCGCTGGAATCACACCTCAGCCCGGACAGCTTCTCCAGGACTGTAGAGACGGACAATGCCCCCTTCAGTGAGCCTTCCACAGTCTGTATACTCTAGATGGAGACAAGATCATAAACGATTAGGGCAGAATCACTTACACATGGCCACCGGTGCAGGACAGCCCTCCTGAGCCCCTCCTTCCGTGAGGACGTGTTAGCAGCCCACAAGCCCCACCTGAGGGTCTCTGAGAAGCAGTCACAGCTTCTCGGATGAAGTTGACACTGTTATGCTGGGAAGAGGGTGCTAGACCACACAGCCTCCAGGGCTGCCGTTTGAGAGGGTGAGAGGACAGTGGATATTTTGAGGGTGAGTTAACTTTATAATGTTGAATCTCACCGCCAAGCTATGAGCTTCTCTGCCTGCATGCCTCTCTCTGTGTGTGATGGGAGCGATGGGTTGATAGGTAGAAATCGGGGCGGGCAGTAGTTGCCCCCATGCAACTCACGACTCTCTTTCTTTCTCAGTGGCACCCTCCAAGCCGGACTGCGGCATCGAAGGGGAGCCGGTGATTGGGAACAACATCAATCTGACATGCCTGTCTGCCGAGGGCTCTCCCACCCCACAGTACAGCTGGTCGAGCTACAACACCCAGAACCAGCCGCGGCCAGTCGCCCAACCAGGTGACAGGGGCATCAGGGAAGGCGGGTGTGCCCCCACATACAGGTGTACCCGACTGGCGAGGGCTACCAGAGGGGACAGGCTGACCAAGCTATCAAAGCCCCCTTTCCCCAGTCCCGTCCTTGGGCTGATCGTCCCTCAGAGCGTTACCCGTGCACCTCACAGCTGCCAAAGACAGAAGTGGCTCCAGAGAAGCAGATGATGTCTGTTCTCTCCCCCCACCCCCACCCCATCCCGCCATTCTCTAGAGGAAGTGTGTCCCGCTAAGCCTGCTAAGTCTTCTGTGCGGAAACACGGACTTGTTCTTTGAAGCATTATTGTGGCCTAAAGCCCACTTTTGAGGTAGGGAATCTCCTAGTCCCCTTTCCCATCCAGACCAGTCCCTCCCAGACACCACCACAAACACACCATGGACTATTAGGGTCCTCGTTCTCAGATCAGGCTATGGCAGATTTAGCCCTAGTTGCCCGGAGACCCATTTTGTACTGGGCAGCCGATATTTGACCTTTAGGTCAGGAAACAAACTAGAAGGAGGAAAAGGAAGAGATGTAGGTAGGAGAGGAAGAAAAGGGGGGCAGGGGGGGAGGAGAGACGGGGCGGAGCTGGGACTGTGTAAACACTCTGCTGCCATTGTGTCCACCTGTGTGGAAATCCCCTGGGCTGCCAGAGTCCACCAGCTGCCATGGCAGCACCAGAGAGCTGAGACCGGAACCGAAAGGTTCGAGAGATGCCTACCAGGTTTAGCCTTGAGGTCTTGCAGTCCTGTGTGTGTGTGGAAATGGAACAGAGAGATGAGCGTAAAGCCTGTGGGTGGGCACTGTAGTCTGACATTTCTTTGGGCCACCAGTTTAATGATAGACTCATTATTAAAATATGAAAGCTCGACCTTAGCTTAGGCTTGTTCTCAGCTAGCTCTTAGAGTTTAAATTAACCTATTTATATTAATCTATGTTCTGCTACATGGCGTTACCTTCCTCCAAGTACAGCATGTTTGACTAGCTTGAGTCAGCTGGCAAAATTCGCACGTCTAGATTCCTCCACCTCTTCCTCTCTCTCCCCAGAAATCCCACCTGTCTCTCCTGCCTAGCTCTTGGATGTTCAGCTCGTTATTAAGATGCCTTAGGCAGAGACTCATGTAAACAAATACTCCACAACAGGACACACCTATTTTGAGAAGCTGACCTGAGGGAGGAAGAACATCCCGAACCCTGGGGAAGGCCGATGGATGAACGCCTCACTCCTTAGGCTTCCATCAAACCAGAGTGGATTTTATCACGCTATCTCATTTGGAGGCCAAAAAATAACTTCTTAAAAACAAAGTTAGTAGCCAGGCAGGCAGGCAGTGGTGGCGCACACCTTTAATCCCAGCACTCGGGAGACAGAGGCAGGCGGATCTCTGTGAGTTCGAGGCCAGCCTGGTCTACAGAGCGAGATCCAGGACAGCCAGGGCTACACAGAGAAGCCCTGTCTTAAAACAACAATCACAACAAAAACTCCACAAAAGCAAACAACAATAACAAACAACAATAACAAAATCAAACTTAGTAGAACTCACTTGACTCGATGTAAAAGGGATGATGCAGTGTGAATTTCCACAACCTTCTAGCTTTGCTGGCATGTTTCTGGTTTGCTGATTTTAAAAACATTTTAAAAATTGCATTTGTTTAGTGTGCACATATGCGCAAGCGCACCACAGTGAGAGGTCAGAGGGCAACGTGTGCGAGTCTCTTCTCTCCCATCACGTGAATCCCAGGGACTGAACGTGGACTCAGGTTGTCCGAACTGGCCGCAGGCGCTCTCACTGGCCCCTGGATTGCCAGTTTTTGAATGTCTGGGATTTTTGTTGAAATCACCCGGCAGTTGTCCTCAAACACTGTGGTCTTCTGTCTCTACCCTCTATTCTGTATTCGTGGTCCGAGGACACAGTGATGTGTGACTGTCATCTATCCAAGTGTGCACAGCGGGGTCCAGGGCCGGAGGTCGTGAGGTCACGAACCGCAGTAGCTGACATACAGTGAGTGGTGTGTGAGAATGTGTGAGGAATCCGGCAAGTTTTCTTCATGAAGAGGAGGTTTGAGTTGCCGTGCGACCTGGTGCTTAAGAGCAGCCAGGGGTTTGAATCCTGGCCGTGCTGCTTGTTACTTTGCTGTCTGTGCCTTTGTCTTTACATCTGTCAAATGGGCACAGCACCGGTGCTCCTCTCAGGCTGTTGCTGTGAAAGGGGAGCCGAAGTACGTAAAGTGCCAAGATCATGTGGTGGGCAGCGCAGGACTCAGTCAGCTGTAGGTGTTGTTAACTATGTGCAGCAGGCCCTTCAGAGGGCAGAACAGCATGGGAACCGCGGCATCAGTGTGGCTGTGGGGTCGGATGCCTGTCCACGCAGAAATGATGGGAGAGGCTGCTGATGGGAAAGACAGGAGAGATGGAGAGGCCTGTGTGTCAGCCTAGGAGGTCGGACTTTCCCTGTAAGCACTGGGCTCCTCCCAGAGGCCCCACAAATGGGCACCCTAGTCACAGCTCCCCACCTCCATCACAAGAGGTTGTCAGGGGCCACAACTTAGTTTCTTTACCGACTAAAAGTGGGTGAATCCTGAGGGCGTGGGAGGAGGTTAAAGCGAGATTTGCTTCTCTGCTTTATCCAGCCCTGAGTTCAGATTTTCTCGTCGGAATTCAGGCCCAGAGTGACAGAAAAGATGGCTGCCGTGGTAAGACATCTTGATGAGAGCAGCTGGTAACACTACATCTGCAGTCGGGAAGGAGAGAGAGAGAGAGAGAGAGAGAGAGAGAGAGAGAGAGAAGAGGAGAGGAGAGGAGAGGAGAGGAGAGGAGAGGAGAGAGAGAGAGAGAGAGAGAGAGAGAGAGAGAGGAGAGGAGAGGAGAGGAGAGGAGAGGAGAGAGAGAGAGAGAGAGAGGCAGGCAGGCAGACACACACACACAGAGACAGACAGACAGACACACACACACACAGACAGGCAGACATACAGACAGATACACACACACATACAGGCAGACAGACAGACAGATACACACACACATACAGGCAGACATACAGACAGATACACACACACACACACACACACACACACACACACACACACACACACACACACGGGAATGCTGCCACACAGCTCACTCTCCCCTTTTTATTCAGCCTAGGATTCCAGCCCAAGGGATGGCACTGCCCACAGCTAAGGCAGGTCTTCCCACCTTAATCAATCTGGACCGCCCCATACAACCATGCCCAAGGCTGACTTGATCTGGAATGCCTCACAGGCATGCCCAGAAGCTTATCCGCTAGGTGATTTTGATGCAGATTGGCAGTATTAGCGATGGACGTGATGATCACCGTGCAGCCATGTGTCTGGACAATGTGATGGAGGCAGGGCACCCTTCCCCAGGCCTCATGTTCCCAGAGTGCCCTTCAGAGAGAGCCCTAGAGTCCTGTTTTAACTTTGTAGCTGTAAGTCACTCACAAGTTCCCCGGTCCTGAAAAACAAACAAACCCACAAAACAACAACAACAACAACAAAATAACAAAAGCTGAGATGGTGCCTTTACTTTCATTGAAGTAAGAGACAGTTTCCCACAGGAAGGCTCTGAAAATGCTTTAAGAACTGTGTTCCAGCGAGTGAGAGTCAGGAGTGGAAGGAACAGGAATTTGGAAGGAGACTGGAACACTTTAGGGGAGGAGGTAGGGAGAGAAGTGAAGGGTCCACCCCCACAGCCTGGGATGAGAGGCTAGCATCCAGAGCTTGCTGACTAGCCTTGGTGGAAGGGGACAGAAAGAGCAGATCCTGTTAATTCAACATCGATATCTTGGGGTGGTCAGGGCTTCTCAGCGCTTCAGCAGAAGACAGACTACTGTCATGCATTCCCTATACTGACCACAAGGTGTCGCCATAACAACGGGAAACTGGATTTCTGAAACTAGTGGGCTCTTTCAAGGGAAGAAAGCCTGGGATCCCAGTTCAACCAAAGCCAACTGACGGCATGGGGTGGGCGCTGTTTCATCCAGAGACATTTCTAGAACACATTGTTTGCCTCAGAGACTAGGGGAAGGGTGGTGCTGGCTCATGCATCAGGAACCCCCGTGATCCCACCCCTAAGCAAGGCCTAGAGCTGCCCCGGGGTGCTGTGGACACCTGATTGTCACTGAGCAGTAAGCACAACTTTCCAGGGGACTCCGGTGCCAGCACAAGGCCTCCTAAGCACACCTGGGTCACTGAGCATTCTGTAGAGTGTTCCTTCAAAATCCTCTTAAGAATAACCAACTCCATCAGGGCTAGAGAACGGGAACATTAATACTCTGAATCCCAATCAGGGGTTCCCATTGCTCCCTGGCATAGTAAAACACCTGCAGGCCACACCCCCAAACTTCACAAGCGTAGTGATTTCTACACTTGCTTTACTTGCGGACAACTCTTCAGAATCCTATACAAACATCGCATGCATGTATACCAGAAAGCACTCAGGAGCGGGGCTCTGGAATCCAAGGCTGTCACGGCTTACAGAAAATACTGCTTTGAGCTTTAAGGGAAGAATACGAAGAAAGTGGTGTATCTGTGAGAAGAAGAGGAGAAAATAGTGTCAGTGAGCTGCGATTAAGGGGGATTTTGTCTTATTCTCTCTTCTTCTAGCGGCTTCCTCTGACCCCCAGACAAGAGTAAAACCCTTCATCGTGAGTTCAGATACAAACAACCTCCATTTCGAACCATAACCTCTCATAAAATCACCATTGTCTCATGTGTGTCTTCCTTGGTGGATTGGAAATGCCGGAAGGGCAGGGACTCTCCTCATTCATTGTGTCCGGAGCCGTGAGGGGGACGTAGGTGTTTTCAGTTGGAAGTGAGTTGACGCAATAGTTTTATGTCGTGCACGAATCCTTACCATAGGCATGCACTGTTTTTACAGTGCACAAGTGTTTTTTTAAGCATTTATTTACTTATTATTAGTGTGGATGCACATGTGTGTGCACATGTACATACCAGTATGAAGGTCAGAGGGCACCTTGCAGAAGCCAGTTCTCTCCTATGGAGTTGGAGTGGGGGGATACTTGCTTGACAATACTTCCTCACAAGAATGGCGGAAGGATGAGATAATTGTGATATGGAGAGACGGTAGGACATAAAGAACTGCAGAGCATGGAGGCTGGACCTTGTGTGGGCTGCTCCTTGGCTTTGCACATGGGAAGCAGCAAGAGAGGACACCGGCAGGATTGCAGGACCAGATCTGAAGTTTGCCAACACACTAAAAGCCCAGAACGCAGGGCCGGGGTGGGGGTTAGGGCAGTCAGTAACGCTTGCCACAAAATCATGAGGACCTTGGTTTGATCCTCAGCGACCCACATAAGAGCTGAGCACGGCAGCTCCTGTCTGTGATCCCAGCCCCGGGGAGGCAGAGACAGGGCTCCCCAGGACTCGATGAACATCCACCGAGCAGCCGAATCAGTGCGCTCCAGGTTTATCGAGAGGCCCGATCACAAAACGTCAGATAGAAGAGAGACTGAAGACACCTGATGTTAACTTCGGGCCTCCACGTGTGTATACATATGTGCACGTATACCTACAGGCATGTGCATGCACACACATGTATACACACACACACACACACACACCCGAGTTGGTTACTGAAGTTTAGAGACAGCCTCTGAAATGTCTACGGGCCTGAAACCGTTCCCTCTTGATGTCTTAGACCGTACCCTGGGGGTGGATGGCAACACCTGGCGGTAGCAAGATCCTGATGAGGCTGGCCCTGCTGTCATGACCAAAGGTCTCTGAGAACAGGGGACACACATAGGCTGTGTAGGTTCAAACCCACGGGATCATGGATTCAGGGAGAGGCCTCTTGTGAGGACACCTGTCCTCTGGGCTCGACATTGGCTGTTTTCACTCTCACTTCCCAGACGAGGCAGCCGCAGCTGAGGAACTAGACAGCTAGAGGGGTGATGGGGGAGGAGGAAGAGTTTAAACTGGCACTGTCCCCCAACTCGCACAACACCCCCCAATAACTATCCATACCCTACACCACACACATCACATACACATTTGCCCGTAATACATATATTTGCTTCCCAAGTACTTACTGCCATCAGGCATTCTGCTGGGCACTTATATTTATTACCAACACCTCATTTTAGGCTCACAAGTGCCTTGCCAGGCAGGTATTATCGTTTCTAATTAGAGATGAAGAAATAGGTCTAAAGTAGGCCAAGTTACTTGCCAAACACATCACCAGGTAAGTGGACAAAGCCAGACACCTGCCATGTTGACCCCCCAGTGACCTTAGAGGTAATTTGCCCTGCATCACGGATTGGAGTGACTAGCTCGGAGGGGCTCAGTGATGAGTCTGTGGCTCCCGGGGCCCAGGCCTCCCAGCCCCGGGCTGTGCCTCCTCCACCACACCACCGTCTCTTCAGCAGCCGCTCTTTCTTCAGTCTCAGGCCAGCCCTTGCATCTGAAGAACATCAGCACGGAAATGGCGGGTTACTACATCTGCACCTCCAGGAACGATGTGGGGGTGCAGTCCTGCAACATCACCATGACTCCCAGACTTCGTAAGAGCAGGGTGGGGAGGGGAGGGTACCAGGCCCAGAGGTGGCTGCTTGAGGCCCATTGGAGGCGAATGAGGAGGTTGCTGTGACCCTGGAGAGATGACTCCTGGCTCAGACTTTCCTCTGGGTCAGCACAGCTCCTCCAGTTCTTTGGAAATTGAGCCTGGGACAGACTCCTGGAGACCTCTTCAGCCATGCCTGCCTCGTGGGCCACTCAGAGAGTGTGAGAGAAGTGCCTAGAACCAATGGCCTTGGTCTAAACCCTAGTCTCTTTTTGTGGAGAGAAGGGAGACCACAGCTGTCTCAAGCATAAGCCAGAAGCTGGCAAAGCTGACCGTTAGGGAACCCAGTATCAGAACGCTCCCTCTGTCTCTCCTTGCTTGCTCCTCTGTCCTTAAGAGGGTCCTCAGATCTGTCTAGTCATGATCTTCCAGGGCCATGACCGAGTGTTACCCGAGGTCTGCAACCACGGCTCCCTAGGCTGGCAAAAGAACTGGCGTGGCCCAGAGGCTGGGAGGGACCAGCCTGCTGTGCCCTGACCGGTGCTGTGGCTCCTCACCTCCAGCCTGGCTTTCTCCTCTGTGGCCAAGGGTTGAGTCCGGGGCGGTGGTGGCGAGAGTTGGGGCTCAGGAGGTACAGCTGCCCCACCCTCTTGCAGCTTCCATGAACATTGCGCTGTATGCGGGCATCGCGGGGGGTGTGTTTGCGGCCCTCATCATCATTGGCATCATCGTCTACTGCTGCTGCTGCCGGGAAGCGGAGGACAAAGCTGAGGCCGTGGAGGAGGCAAGGCCGTAAGTGCACTGGGACAGGCGGGCCCCTTGGGAGGAAGCGGGTGGGAAGACGCACCCCAACTCCTCAGGCATGCCCGCTTAGCACCTCGGCCCGCAGTGCGGTTTCAGTCTTCTCGGTTGCAGCTGAGGACTGAGCAACCCACCCAAATCAAGGGCGGGACTGTAGTCCTGCGCTTTGTCCCTAGGGCCTGTGGTTTGCATCTCGGGACAGGCCGTCTTGTGGCAAGCTGAGGGTCAGGTAGAGGCTGACACACACATGCTGCTTCCCCAGGCTCCTCAGCCCACGAGTGGAGTGTTCTTCTGAGATCTCACTGCACACTCGTAAACCAGCGCTGCAGCAGAGTCCCATTGCAGCCCAGGGGTGGGATGGTGGTTCGACCAGTGAACTCCCCTACCCCATCACCGCGAGGATTAACCTTCTCTTCTTTCTCCACTGCCCTGTAGAAACCGAGCCGCTTACCAAGAGCCTCAAGCGAAGCGGACAGAAATTTCCAGAGGGAGGGACGAGGAAGATGACTACAGGCATGGGGACCAGAAGAGCTCAGGGCGGAGCTCTCCGGAGCAGCCCTTCCAGTGAAGGGGGCCTGTTGCCCAGTGGGAGAGAAGGGCTAGGGCCCGGCCTCCCACTTCTGGCCTCTTTCCTCTATAGCCCCATTGTCCCTCCCCTCCCCAGCCATCGGTGAAGCGCATCTTCCTGTATGTGGTGTGTGTGTGTGTGTGTGTGTGTGTGTGTGTGTGTGTGTGTGTGTGTGTGTGTGTTTCTGGGGAGCATCATTGGCCTGGCTACATGGGTCCTACCTGTTACCCTGGCAACCACGTAGAAAGAACCCCTCCTTATTGCTCTATCTGACTCAGGGCCGGTCCTTCCTCCCAGTTCAGACAGCACTCCCCCCTCCCCCCATTCCCCCACCCCCCCACTCCACCTCTCTTATGGCTGGGCCCCACCAGCATTGAGCAGGGGCTGCTTCTATTCAGATCTCCCCATGCAGACAGTGCCAACTTCAGAAGTGTGGGAGTCTGCCCTGCCCACCACGCCCAGCACTCAGAGGAGAACCTGTGGATGGGCTTGCACTCAATATTTTTTTGTTGAATGACAGAAAGAAATCAAGGATATGGTGGAGTCCCTGTGATTTACCCAGCTTAATTGTGCCCTCCATGCTTGGGGGCCACGGTGGCCTCCAGCTTCTCCCTTGGCCTCATCTCCCTCCATATGGCTCCTGCTCCCAGACACACACGCCTTCTCAGGACCTCCCCCAACACAGTTCCATCCCTGACCGGCAAAATCTTGCCTGTCCTTATAGCCCACCACTCTTGGACCCCAATGTTTTTCTTAATCCTGTTGTGACTGCTCACATGCAGGGAAGCAGGGAAGTCACTTTGTCCTGCATCCAGACCTGGGCAACATGCACGGCCATCAGGGCGCTACTTCCTGCTGTATTAGGGTGGGTGCCCCTGGAGCAGGGTCTGGGCAGCTTCAGCTGGGGGCTTGACCTCCTAGGCAGGGCTTTGCCTCCTGGTTGTGACTTGATAATCCCACCCAAGCCCTGTGCTAGTCTGGTAAGGGAAGCAGACTGATTTAAAATGAGCCGCACACACACACAAGCTTTCTTGCCTCCCACCCCTGCCTGGCCATTGGCCTCTGAATGACAGCTGAGCCTCACTGCCCTGCCCTCAGCCCCCTACCCTAACCCCCACCCCTTTGGTAAGTTCTTTCATTTTCCAGGGCTCAGGCCAGATGGGCGACTCCAAATGTGTTTTACTATCTGGATCACCAGAAAAAGCAAGTGTGTAAATCCCCTGCCCCTTCTGATTTTATTTACATGTATATTTTTATATAATTTGCTGAGCTCTTTGTTTCCTTCAAAATGTTTCCTTATCAATAAAGTTACCAGAAGAATTTCACTTTTCTTGGTTCACTTATCTTTTGTCTATGCCAAGTATACCTACTGTCTAGCGGGCTGGGAGGCAAGGCGACCAGGTGGAGAGTCTTTGGGTTCCATTACTTGTGGCCAAGGTAAGGGCAGGCAGTAACTCTCAAGGCTGCTGGGGACAGGCTAGAGCTCAGCCTGGTGGGGGAGGTGTGCTCTGAGAGCCTTCGGGGTCAGAAGACCTAGCAGTCCTGGGAGTCATCCGTGCCCCCAGGATGGTGATAGAGATGCCCTCGCCTGTGACATCCTACAGTGCCCCTTCTGAGGAGATGGGCAGAGAACTCTCTGTCGCAGAGAACTATGGTGCCTCTCCCACAAAGCTTGGGTCCATACTCAGTGCTCAGCTTGACCACAGACTCGTGAGACACTTTCAGGGTCATCTCCTTCATGGCCCTTCCTGTGGAGCCCTGTGCTTTTTCCTGTGCCAGCGTCTGTCATATGGTGCTGCCATGACCTGGGTATATGCCTTCACCTCGGCCTCTGCCTACAAGACTCATGAGCATAGGAACGGGTCCAGGTAGGCATTTGGTAAGGGCTAGTTAAACAGGTAATGGTTACTGTCACAGTGTCTTGCTCAAGGGCTGCTTTGAGGAGCCACTATCCCTCATGATTCATGGCTCCACAAGCATGTCTGGAAGCGACTCGGTCCTCAGTGGTCCTGCCACCTGTCCTCCAAAGCCCTCCATCTCAGCTTGGGTTTAGGGAAGAGCACAGGGGAGACCAGGCTCTACTTCAGCACGGATTTTCTGAGTACCTGCTATGCTCTGTGCTGCTCCCAGGGGTACTGAAGAGCTGGCATCCATGGCAGGAAGCAGACACAGGAAGAGTTCCATGAGACAGGGAAGGACTGGGCCAAGGCGGGTGTGTGTTGGGGTGTGGGGAGAGCGCGCCTCAGGGACTAGTGATGATTCGAAGCTGGGGTGACACTTGGCTGCATCTTGACAAAACAGAGCGGGTGCCGACACTCGGCACTCAGTGGTCCTCTAGTGCAGGGCTCTGTTACTTGGGTGTCTACCTTCATTATCAGTTGGCAACACTACAGATTCCTGCTGAAGTCATTTCAGGCCAGAAACTGCAGCAATTAGATTGCTGTAGGTTCCCACACAGCCACGGCTAGCCTGGCGCAGGTGCTCTGAGGCTCTGGGTGGGTGCGCAGACAGGCCTCCGGAAGATGAAATGAAGTTGATAAATTAGCTACTCTTCAGGGGCTTATAATGAAGTTGCTTTTGTGGGTGATAAAGCGCCAGGTCTCCAAGGCAGGATTCACAGAGCCTGGCACACACCAATGGCAAGCGCTAAGGCCGCACTTGCTCTGGACCAGCAACTGTTCTATGCATTTCCCACATCTCCTCTATGCTCCTCACAGTGGCAGTATGAGACAGGTACTGTCTCAGTCAGTGTTCTATTGCTGTGAGGAGACACCATGTCCACAGCAACTCTTATAAAGAAAAGCACTTAATTGGGGGCTGGCTTATGGTTTCAGAGGTTTAATCCATTGTCATCATGGTGGGAAGCATGACAATATGCAGGCAGACATGGTGCTGGAGAGGTAGCTGAGAGTTCTACATCTGGATCAGCAGACAGCAGGAGAAGAACAACCCTGGGCCTGGTTTGGGCCGTTTAGACCTCAAAGCCCACCCCTAGTGACACACTTCCTCCAACAAGGCCACACCTCCTAATCCCTCCCAAGTAAGGCCACTCCCTAATGACCAAGCATTCAAATCTATGAGCCTACTAAAGTGTGTGTGTGTGTGGGGGGGGCATTCCGATTCAAACCACCGCAGGTACTTCTAGTATTCCACAGTGTGGAAATTGAGGCATGGCATGTCAAGCATTTAAAACACAGAGTGTCAAGTTGCTATTTCCGGCTATAAACTCTTGGTCCACCTGACTGGGGCGTGTTCTCAACTGCTTACTGAGTATGGAATCAGAACAAGAGAAGTTGGCTGCCTTCAAGGAACTCTCATCGTCTGTCTATACCAGTGCTTACAAGCAGACATTGTATCACCGGTGGAGATTCTAGAAACTTCTCTGGTCTTGGTTCTATCCCTGTATATTATTTCAGGGCCCTGATCATCTTCACAGGTGATCTTGCTGAGAAGCTGGGTCCTGTGGGTGGAGCCTCTTTGGCCCCGCCCCCTGTGTTTGCACACAGGGAATGTCTCCCTTCAGGTCTCAGGTACATTTGCAGGGGACCCAAGCTGGTGTCTGTGATGGCCCATGTGTACTGAGCAGCCCCAGCTGACCATGTTAGCATCCCTTCCCTTTCTTCCTAGCCACACACTTTCTTCAGACTTGAGAAAACCTTCCTCCAGTTCCAATGAAGTCAGCCTGGCCTGGGAGCTTCTTTTTATGGGTAGATTTCTGCTGTGATCAGGGATGTATTGGTTTTCAAGGTCATCTCAAGTGGGCACTCTTTCCCTGATTGCCAGGCTGTTGAAAGGATTTTTGTTTCAATTAACATAAACCAAACTGCTACAGAGATGGACTTGAAAATTGTAATGACTGAAAAATCAACAGAAGTTACTTTCTCGCACACTAACAATTTTTGAGGCCCTCAAGGTCTCTATCCCCTGTTTGTCTTTTAAAATCATTTTATTACATATTTATTTAGCTATTTTGTATATGTAGGGAAGAAGTGTGGAGGACAGAGGACTACTTTCAGGAGTTGATTCTCTCCTTGTATCATGTGGGATTCAACGCAGGTCATCACACACACACCTTTACTCACTCAGTCGTCCACTGACCCTCCTGTCTGCCTAAGGGGTGGGATAGTCCACCCTCAGGGACCAGGGAGTTGTTTGCTGCCGGCCAGCAGAGGAGACAAAACACACAGTAAAGGTCCAGTGGCCTTTCGACTTTGGTGCTGAGGTGACCACAGAGATTCTGCTCAGGCCACACATGAGTCACTACGTTACACAGCACGTCAGGAGGCAGCAAGATGCCAACTTGTAACCTTGACATGGGCAGAACAAGAACTGGCTGTGGGTTTCTGCCACCACTGCTTTATTCCAACCTCCTCAAACTCTTCATTTCACAGAGGAGACTAGGATGTCTGGGGGTTAATGTCATCAGGGGTGACATTAGGTGGTAGGGTGAGGACGAGACTCAGAGCTGATGATGAAGGTCTTGCTTGCTCTTTCCACCTGATCACATCTTCTCCTGGCCTCATGCACAGGCAGAGGGTGGGCACAGAGGCCGAATTAGGGCTGCTCGATTTAAATTTATATATATGAGCTACATAATGAGATCTTACTCAGAAAGCAATCAACTTGTGTAATGAGTTTTCTGTGTCATCAGGTATGATTCATCCCTTGCACCTTTTGAAGGGACAGGGTGACTCATTCAGCTTTGTGAAAATGTTAAAGCTTATTCACTAAAAATTTCACTTACCGAAGTATGAGTTCCCCCCAAAGGGATCTCAGAGATATTCAGATCCTATTTGGAGAGGACAAGTGTTATTCTTTGCCTTTCGAGATGCAGAAGAAGGTGGAGAGGGTGTGGGGGTCAGCAGTACATCTAGACTGCAGAAGAGGAGAAAGGAGGGGGACCTGCATGCACACACAGCATGCGGGAAAGTGGCATGATTCTGCGGGACTTCCGCCCTACACGTTTTCATCTTAAACTATTCTATTTTTCAATCTCAAACTTAAAGAAAGGTCTAAGTATGATACAAAGACCTATGCCTGAATGATGAGAAGTAAGTGGGTGACACGTTGTTCTCTTTAGTGTGACACACTAAACACTTTAGTGTGTTTTCTTTGTGAAAGGATACTCTCCCGTAAAACTACAATATATCCACCCACACCAGGAAAGGGCACCATCACCATCACATTACAGCTCCATCCCCAGAACGTATCAAGTCCACAAGCTTTCCAGGAACGCCCATGGAAGCAAGAAGGCCCAGGTTAGATTTGCTCACTGGGTTTACACCTCATAT